GAAGAAGCACTCGGGGAAAATGTAGCGATGAAGTAACCTGCTACAAGTGTGGGAAAACAGGGCACTATGCCAATGAGTGCACCACCAACAAGAAAGTGTGCTACGAATCTCGTGAAGAAGGGCATATTGCTAAGGATTGCCCAAAGAAGAAAGATGCGGGAAGGCCCAACATACCACCAAAACCAAAGGCGAGAGCCTTTCAGATGACGCTCGAGGCTGCAAAGGAGGCAGCAGACGTCGCTTTAGGTACCTTTCTTGTAAATGGTTTACCTGCAAATATACTATTTGATTCCGGAGCAAATTACTCCTTTGTGTCGCATAAATTTGGTGGAAAATTAGCATTACCTGTAGAAAAACTAGATAATGCCCTGATTGTAGAAGTTGCCTGTGGCAAATTCGTACCTGTTAGTAATCGTATTAGGAACATCGTCATTGACCTAAACGGAAACGAATTCCATGAGGAACTATTACCCATAGAGTTAAACGGTTTCGACATCGTTTTGGGTATGGATTGGCTTAGCGCCAACGATGCCGAGATATTATGCCGGAAGAAGATAGTTAGGATAAACCCACCCGAAAAGGAATCATTTATGGTGTACGGGGACAAACGCAGAGTGAATTCTGGAATCATCTCCCTGATGAAAGCCAGGAAATGTTTGTCCAAAGGATGTGCATCATACTTGGCATTCGTAATCGATGCTAAGAAGGAAAAGAAAGAGGTGCAGAATATACCAGTTGTGTGTGATTATCCGGAAGTCTTTCCCGAAGATCTTCCCGGATTACCACCTGATAGGCAAGTGGAGTTTCGCATAGACTTATTACCAGGAACAACACCGATAGCAAAAGCACCTTACCGATTAGCACCGACGGAGATGAAGGAGCTCATGACGCAACTTCAGGAGCTGTTGGACAGCGGTTTCATTCAACCTAGTTCATCACCCTGGGGAGCTCCGGTGTTATTCGTGAAGAAGAAGGACGGAAGCATGAGGATGTGCATAGACTACAGAGAGCTGAAGAAAGCAACGGTGAAGAACAAGTATCCATTGCCAAGGATTGATGACCTATTCGATCAGCTGCAAGGTTCGAGCTACTTCTCAAAGATCGATCTTAGGTCAGGATATCATCAGCTGAAAGTGAGAGAGCAGGATATTGAGAAGACTGCATTCAGAACAAGATATGGACACTACGAGTTCGTGGTTATGTCATTCGGATTAACCAATGCTCCCGCAGCATTCATGGATTTGATGAACAGGGTTTGTAAACCATTCCTCGATAAATTCGTGATAATGTTCATCGACGACATTGTCATCTACTCGAAAAGCCAGGAGGAGCACGGCAAGCATTTACGAGAAGTGTTGGAGGTGTTAAAGAAGGAGAAGCTTTTTGCAAAGTTCTCCAAATGCGACTTTTGGATACGGGAAGTCCAATTCTTGGGTCATGTGGTTAACCAAGAAGGAATAATGGTCGACCCCGCCAAGATCGAAGCTGTAATGAAGTGGGAACGTCCGAAGAATCCCACGGAGATTCGAAGCTTTCTAGGATTAGCCGGATATTACCGACGATTTATCCAAGGCTTTTCTTCGATAGCTGCTCCATTAACAGCTTTGACCCATAAAGGAGCTACGTATACATGGAGTGAGAAACACGATGAGGCGTTCGAGAAGCTAAAGAAGAAGTTATGTGAAGCACCGATACTTTCTCTACCCGATGGAGTCGAAGATTTTGCAGTTTATAGTGATGCATCTGGAGTCGGGTTGGGTTGTGTTCTGACCCAAAGAGAAAAGGTGATAGCATACGCATCTCGACAATTGAAAGAGCACGAAAAGAACTACCCCACTCATGATCTAGAGTTGGCAGCGGTAGTATTTTCCTTAAAGATATGGAGGCATTACCTCTACGGCACGAAGTGCAAGCTCTTCACTGATCATAAGAGTCTCCAGTATCTCTTTAATCAGAAGGAGTTGAACATGAGGCAACGACGCTGGTTAGAACTTCTCAAGGACTACGACTGTGAGATACTTTACCACCCAGGTAAAGCAAATATTGTTGCTGATGCTCTCAGTCGGAAAGTCAATCTTGAAAGAAAAAGGCCAAGAGCGTTAAGAATTGAAGTCGTCTCGACGATCGTGGAAAGTATCAGGAAAGCTCAAGAAGAAGCCTTAGAAAAGAATGACCGAAAGGAAGAACGTTTGGGAAAAACGTTAGTGTTCGGTACGAACAGTCGAGGACTGAAGGTATTCCAAGATCGAATTTGGGTACCTAAGACGGGAGGAATAAGAGATCTTCTAATGGAAGAAGCACACAAGACCATGTACTCGATTCATCCCGGTAGCACTAAAATGTATAGGGACCTAAAACCCTACTATTGGTGGCCGACGATGAAGCTCGATGTTGCGAAGTATGTGGCTGAGTGCGTAACATGTGCAAGGGTTAAGGCACAACATCAGAAAGCATATGGGAGTTTAGAACCTTTACCTATACCCATGGGTAAATGGGAAGACATCACCATGGATTTTGTGACTAAACTGCCCAGAACGAAGAACGGACACGACATGATTTGGGTAGTCGTGGATCGTTTCACCAAGAGTGCACACTTCATAGCCGCCAACGAGAAGTGGTCTATGGATAAGCTCGCAAACGCTTACGTGAAGGAAATTGTAAGACTTCACGGTGTCCCCCTTACGATTGTGTCAAATCGTGATAGTCGTTTTACGTCGAGGTTTTGGAGGAGTCTACAAGAGGAGTTGGGTACGAAGTTGTGTTTGAGTACTGCTTACCATCCGCAAACCGATGGTCAGAGCGAAAGAATGATTCAGACGTTGGAAGATATGCTGAGAGCATGTACCCTCGAATTCCAAGGGAATTGGGACGAACACTTACCTCTAGTAGAATTTTCCTACAATAATAGTTTTCACTCGAGCATCAAGATGGCACCTTACCAAGTCTTGTATGGACAAAAGTGTCGTACGCCGTCTTGTTGGCTTGAAGCCGGAGAGAAGCAGTTTATGGGCCCCGAGATAGTCCATGAGACTGCTGAGAAATTGAAGGTGATTAGGGAAAGGATGTTAGCAGCTCAGGATCGTCAGAAGAGCTATGCTGACAAGAAAAGACGACCGATAACCTTCGAAGTTGGGGATTCCGTTTTACTTAAAGTCTCACCGTGGAAGGGACTTATACGATTTGGGAAACGAGAAAACTTGAATCCGAGGTTTATTGGACTATTCAAAGTTCTTCAGAGGATTGGGAATCAAGCTTACAAGCTGGAATTGCCCGAAGAACTCAATGGTATTCATAACACATTCCATGTGTGTTATTTGAGGAAATTCGTGGGAGATGTTCCCGACATAATTCCAATCTCAGAGTTAAGGATAGATGAAAATAAAAGGCTGATCGAAGAGCCCGAGGCAATTGTTGACCGTAAGACTAAGAAGTTACGACGCAAGATGGTCGACTTAGTGCTAGTCCGATGGAAACATTCGAATGGGCCGAATCTCACTTGGGAAACAGAGGATGACATGATGAGTCGTTATCCACATCTGTTTGCTGATGCATGATTCCGGCACGGAATCATCCTAAGGGGGAGAGAATTGTAACGCCCGGGTTTTCAAGGCT